GGGGGGTCACTCCCTTTGTCTCCTGGGCCCCAAGTTCTGAGCTGTAGCTCTGCCTGGCATGGGGGCTACTGTGGTGTCCATGGCCAGCATGGCCCGAAGCATCGGGCATGGCCCCTTTGGAATCTGCAGATCTGCTCTTGCCACACACACATAGCCCCCTGCCCTTGGCAAAGTCACACACCTCTCTCCAGGCCAAAAAATTGCCTTTGTTCTTATCATTTCTAGTGGCAGGTTAGCCCCACCTGCCCCAGCTGACCATGGAGCTCCTCCTGGGCCACTCCTATCCCAGCCCAGCCCCCAAAGCTCCCTCGGGCCATCGTGTGTGCACATGCATACACATACATGCACTCACACATGTGCACATACACAATGCATACCTTCTCAGACAGCAACAGGCTTCTCCACCTCAACATAGAGCAGTTAGTCCCTATCCAGGGATCCCTAGAGCAAAGCCTTTCCTGTGCTGGAAAGCACCCTGGAGCACTATGGAAACAGGGAAGGCGAAAGGAGGGTGTTGGAACTTACCTACTCCATACTGGGTGACCCTGGGCAGGTCACCTTGGTCATGTTTCCAAAGCCAAAAAAGCGACACATGGGACATGGTAGGTATTAATTATTATGTCCACAGTTAGGGGGAGGGGTGTCTTAGCTCAGGCTGCCATGACAAAATACCATATACTGGATGCTTAAACAACAGAAGTATATTTCTCACCATTTCTGGATGCTGGGAGTCGGAGATCAGGGCACCAGCACAGTTGGGTTCCAGTGAGAGCCATCTTCCCGGCTTGCAGACAGTTGCCTTCTTGCTGAGTCATCACATGGAGAAGAGAGATCATCTCTCTTTTTCTTCTCTCTTAAGGGAAATAATCCCATCATGGGGGCTCCACCCTCATGACCTAATTACCTTCCAAAGGCTCCACCTCCAAATACCATCTCCCGGGGATGAGGGCTTCCCCATATGAGTTTGGTGGGAACATTCAGTCCACAGCAGGGGATGACACTCAAGCAAATTGCATCTGGGACTGTATCAATGGAAGTAAAGTGTCAAGATGAGGGTGGTTGTAGATCTGTTCTCTGCTGATCAAACCCCACCTGGAGTACTGCCTTCTGCTCTGGGGTCTTGTCTACAAAAAAACATGACAAATAAGCCGTATAAGGAGGCACCTGGGGAAGGCATTCTGAAGCTAGGTCCAGGAGGAAGCACTGGACGGGAAGGGCTGGATCAGGCTGCCACAGAGAAGGGACATGGAGGAGGTCAGGTCAGTGGGACTGGTCATGGCAAAATATGCTGCCAGGACCAAGTGTAGTTATTGGCACTGAGATAGGACCCTAAGCCCCAGGTCAAGAGCCCTCTTAGGGTATCTTGGAAGCAGAGACAGTGGTCTGCTTCTGAGTAACAGCTAAGAACGGTGATACATCCAGCCTTCTGCCTCCCTCCCTCATAACCCTCATCTGAACCACTACCTATGCTTCTTTACTAAGTTGGTTTTGGAAAACACACCTACTTCTTTGCTACTCCCTCCTTTTCTGTCCCCAAAAAAGATGGAAAAGAGAGTCTGCCAGGAGATCTTCACCACCCATTATCTCTTTTATTCTCCATAACAATCCTCTGAGGTAGGGATTATCATTCCCATTTTGTGGAGGAGCAAATGGAGGCTCAGAGAAACTTTTAACTTGCCCGAGGCACTAAGCTATCGACCTTCAGAGCCAGGATTTAGGAATATTCTGTGTGATCATGAAGTCCATTGTTTTTCATTTTGCCTAGCTATTACCTCCTCTCAACCCTCTTCCTCTCTCCCATTCAGGCAGCCAACTGGCCTGGAATACGGCCATCTCCTTGGTGATCTGTGTGTGGCTGTCTTCTGCCTTCTGGGCAGCACTGCCCCTCCTGGGCTGGGGCCACTATGACTATGAGCCGCTGGGGACGTGCTGCACCCTGGACTACTCCAGGGGGGACAGGTGAGGTGGGAGGAGCAGCTACAAATCTCCCTTCCTTGGGAACCTTTCTGTGAGTCCTTTCAACAACAGTGTCACAGCTGAAAATCCAAGTGGGGAAATGTCAACATTTGCCAGTCAATCTCAACTCCTTAGTTATGACATCCACTTGCAAGTGGACAATGGGACTGGGGAAAGTGCATTCTGAAGACTGACCAAGTGATGGGCATGTTATACAAGCTGGGGTGTAGAGTTGTCCCAAGAAGGGGCATTACCCAGTGAGCTGTTGACCTGTGTCAGTTACAACAGCAACTGAGCCCGTGACCCCTTTGCCATCTTCTTCATGGTTAGTTGTCCCAGCTCTGACCTGATCAGTTTCTAGGGTGAGCCATGTCCTTTGTTCAATAGATTCAAAAATGTCTTTGCACTGGGAGGGACCTCCTTGGCATAGAGTTCAGTTCTTGGAATTTCCTGAGCATCTACTGTGAACCAACCCTTGGACCTAGTCCTGGGCGACAAAATTGATGCACGATGGCCTCCACCATTATGGAGCATATGTCTAGTACTGCCCCATCCACAAGGCTCTGGGGACACCAGGGCTTACACCCTTTAGGGGACACCTTGGGGAAGGGTCCAATGGGCTCCAGCCCCCCTCTTGCTTCTACTAGGGTCATGTCGCATTCATCTGCTTTCCATGTTGACTATGTTTACTCATGAAGCATCTGCCCCTGATGACAGTCTTTCCAGGTGAAATGTACTTGAGGACCCTAGGTCTGGCCCAAGTGTCTCTCCAGGGTGCTCCCTACAGGTATCTCCCCAGCCAGGGTCCAGTCCTCTGGCAGCCTTTCCTCCTACCCCTCCTTAGTGGGCAGCACCCAGAATGGGTAACATTTCTCCCCTTCACAGAATGAGAATCTACCTCCTTGTGACTCCCACCTGTTCCTGGTCAGCCCTCCCACCTCCCCATGACCCTACCTAGGACACCAGGCTCTCCTGGAAATCCTTCAATGTTTTCTTCAATGACACAGCATCCAGTCTCTTTCTTATTTGTAGACCCCTTTCAAATCCCTCTGCCAGGAACACTCTTTGAATGATCCTTCCTCTTGGTCCATTGATGTATCTTCCATTTGGTAAACACATTTTCCATTTTCCATGCTTGGGGCACATAATGTGAACAAGACTGAGCACTTGAACTGCCCAACAGCAAGTTGAAGGAGGACTCTCCCTCATTTCAGCTCTCTGGCTCCTAGAGGCAAGTTCAAGGAGGGCCCAGTGGCTCCCTGTCTCTAAGCGGACTCAACCTGGGACCCGGGAACAACCATACTCTGAGCACTTGTCTGATGAGAGCAGTTCCCTACCTGTGACTGTCTAGCACAACCACTGATGAGCCTTCCCTGAGAGATGGTCCTGACTCCTCTACCTACTCTGCCTGCAGAAACTTCACCAGCTTCCTCTTTACCATGGCCTTTTTCAACTTCTTCGTGCCTCTCTTCATCACATTCATATCCTATCGGCTCATGGAACAGAAACTCAGGAAGACTGGCCACCTCCAGGTAAGGACCAATTCCCAGAGCAAAAGAAATCTCTTTGTCTCTCTCAGGGAACATGAGTGATGTGAGAGACAGTAGTGAGGGGTTTTCTGTGTTTTCAGTGATCAGGAGAAAATTCAGCTTTCTCAGAGCTTTGCGGGGGTTAGAGCAGGAATGCACCCTCCCCATTGCTGGGCATCGTCAAAACCTGGGAGGAAGGGTCAGGACTGCTTGGACTCACCAGACCCCATAACCTTGAACCGGGTCACCCTGTTGGACACCATCCATGCTGTCACCTTTTGTTCTTTCCAAGGATTTGAGGGTTGGCACAAAGTTACATGTTTTTCAAAAGCTTCTTTTAAATTGCTCCCAAGATGTCTAATTTACCCACAACATAAAATCACACCCGCAAGCACATTTTTCCAAGAAAAATAATTCTTCAAAATAAGCTCTCCTGGCCATTTCTGAATCTCTGCATTAATATTCCCTTTCCACAATTTTCTTTTGTCACCTGGACAACCTCTAGAGATGAGCCTTAACAAGCACTGAAATTTCAGAAAAAAAATCTGATTCCTCTCAAAGGAAGGTTTTGTTATCACTATGTCACAGGGTGGAAAATTGAGGCTGTGAGAGTCTGTTAAGTAAGTAGCCACAAGCTCCATAACTAGTAATAACAGAGTTGGATCAAACCCGGGTCTGGGACTCCATGACCCAAGTGGTCATAGAGTGCACAAGAAACACTCAATCTTTGTTGAGACACTCAATCTGCCCTGATTTTTTTTTCCCCCTGTGAATTGGAAAAGGACTGTACAAATCGATTTTAGCCAGAGATCTAAGTTGCCCCCAGTCAGCAGGAGGAGGAGGAGGACTGAGGGCGGACCAGGATTCTGGCTCTGGGCTGTTGCTCCCCTGCCCTCACCTCCTCCAGGCTGTCCTTCACACTGCCCGCCCAAGCCCTGCCTGGGTGCTCAAAGTTGCCACGTTTATCCGAGGTTCAATGGGCCAAGAGACAGGGCTGCCACACTGATTTTCTTTTTTCTGGCTTGACTTGAAACCATCAGTTCAGGAAGCATCAGCAGAAGTCTCTGTGCATGGGCCCAGGGACTTCAGCCAAGAGCAGAGCAGTTTCCAAGTGACACTGTCTCCGCCTCGGCCCCGCCCCAGGAGGACTGTTTCTCTTTTCTTTTTTCCTTTCCTTTCGTTCCTTTCCTTTCCTTTCGTTTCCTTTCCTTCCCTTCCCCCCCCCTTTTTTTAATGGGGGGCAATTCAAGAGAAAAAATGTCTCCCAACTAACATATTTTTATTCCATGAAAAAAAGTGTCCTCTTTCAACTTAAGTCACCTCCTTTCTTAAAGGGAGACGCGGTCAAAAAGAAAATAGGCACTGATATTGAGCTTCAGCTTTTTAACATCTGAGTGTGTGTGGGAAGCAGGCAACTTTCCTCCTGAAGTTCGATCGCAAGTCGTGCAGCCTCCCTGTGGCCAGAGGTGGCAACACAGGCCCTGCTCCCCGGTTGTGTCTCACACCTTGGAAAGCCGCTTTGAACCCAGGACAGGTTGGCACACCAGGTGGCTGCAGCTGCTGATGGCTGATGGGAGCTGGTTCTGGGACTGAGGTATGGGGGCAGCTCATATGGGGAGCCTCCTTCACACATCCACACTCCCAGAGCCCGGGGTTCCTCAGAAGGAGTGCAGACCAGAAAGGAAACTCATTATCTGTCCCCTAGTCCCCTGCCTCCAGGTAAGTCAAGCATGATCAAGCCATTTTACAGACAAGGCAAATGAGGTCAAGTAAGCTTAGAGGACAGGCTTAGGGTCCCACAGCTTGCACGCCAGAGAGGTCTTTGTGGCCCCACAGCCTGATCACACAGCCCCGCCCTGCTGAGTGCCCGCCTGGTCCCTAGGCGTGTGGGGCTGCAGTCGCCTGAAGCAAGTCAATGCCTCCCTCCCATGACACTCTCTCCCCAGGTGAACACCACTCTGCCGGCCAGGACACTGCTGTTCGGTTGGGGCCCCTATGCCCTCCTGTACCTATATGCCACCATCGCGGATGTGAGCTCCGTCTCCCCCAAGCTGCAAATGGTACAGACACCTCCCGCACCCCAAGTTAGAACTCTCTCCATGTCTGTGTCTCTGTCATGCTCCATCTCTCCCTCCTACTTTATGGCCTTCTGCTAGTCTCTTTCTCTCTTCCTTTGAACACTCATAACGCATCGGGAATTTGCTTGTCTCCTGGGTCACACGGGGCTGCTGCTTGACATTGCTTAGGACTCTGGTACCAAGGCTGAGACTGGTGCTCGGGAAGGAGGGCGTTTGCATGCACCACCCGCCCTCTGGTCAAGGAAGCCTTAGGAGTTGCAGAATCAAGCCATGGACAGAGGACCGGTGGCTGCAGTGGAGTGGGGGTGGGGGGAAGGGCTGGGCAGGGCCAGGGTCGCCACGTGGGACCAGGGAGAGGAGCCGAGGCTGTGAAGCTTCTTCCCTGAATTTTTCTGTCACGCAGGTGCCGGCCCTTGTTGCCAAAACGGTGCCCACGATCAATGCTATCAACTATGCCCTGGGCGGCGAGATGGTCCACAGGGGGATTTGGCAGTGCATCTCACCTCAGGGAAGCGGGCTGGACCGAGCCCGGTGAGGTTCTCCGTGGAGCCGCTCAGACCCAGGCCCACCCCTGACACCCCGGACCGAGCCCAGTGTGACGAGGCTGCCCTGGGATCCTGCCCGGCAGCCTCAGAAGCTAAGCTCCACACACTTGCCCGCTGACTGCCCCGACGGCTCTGTTGGGCCTGGCCCTAGGTCGGACACGAGGGATTCAGAGAGCAACCAGGCCTCGTGGGAGGAGCTGGGACTTCAGAGCCAGCCAGACCCGAGTTTCCGTCACAGCCCTTGAGACAGAGGCCGAGAGACCTTGGGAAAGTCACTCACTCTGAACCGAGCTTCCTGACCTAGAACATTAGGCCTCCATGGGGCTGCTGTGAGGCTTAAGCAAGATAATGTATACGCACCATGCACACAGAAGCTCATCGAAACAGCTGTCGGGGCTCAGAGTCTTACATAGAAAGGGGTGAGAGCGCCAAGTCGCTTGTGGGAGGGCAACCCAGGCTGTCCGCGTTCAAATGCCGCTTATTAAATTGAGATCTGGTGCCAGTGACTGAGTCTGTCTGTGCATCTGCTTCCCAACTTGTAAGATGTGATGACAGAAATGGTGACTTCACCATGCAGAAAGCACCGGAACGTTACCTGGCACATTCAGGGCTCGCTGAGAGTTAGCCACCAGCACCTGCCAGTCAGAGACAGCTAGCTGCAGGTTACTTAGTTGCCAACATTACAATTCAAGACAATCCATTTAAAAGTCCAGATGTCCGAAGATGAGGCCCCACCAACCTGGAGGAGGCTCCATGGTGACAGTTTGTAGAGCTCAGGGCAGCTCTGTCCCGGTGCCCAGGGTTCGTTCCCTTCCACCAACTGTAGCTTTATATTCCCTGCAGAGCCTGCAGGCATCTGGGCCTGTGACAGTGATGCCGGGGCCCCCCTCTGTGGATGTACATCTGCACCTCCAGCAGAGTCAGCATTTCAGGAACAAGGTGTGGCAGGTGCGCAGACCCGGGTGGAACCCGTTGTCTTAGAGGGAAGTGGAGAAGGTTGGCAGGGAGACGGTGGGCTCTACAGAAGGTCTGATGATGGAGAGCCAGCTGCCCCAGGCGCCTCAGATGCAGGAAGGACGAAAGCTCCACCTCCTGATGCTGAGCAGGGAAGGGACAGGTTCCCGGGGTGGGGGTGGAGGGGTGGGAGATAGAGTGGTCATGAGAACAACATCTGGGGTCCCTGTGCACCAGGACGTGCCTCTCAGCTCTGCAGATGCAGGAGATCAGACCACATAAACATAACTCACAAGAAGTCTGCTCCAAACGGAGGCCAGTTCGGTCTGTTGTGAAACCAGGTGGAGTGGGGAGGGAAGCAGCCCGCCCACAGCACTGTTTCCTAGACCACGCCCTGTGCCCAGTGCTGTAGAGACAAGATGCCACTCAGCCTCATTCCAGCGACCAGTCGGGGTCCCTGTCATGGGCCCCGGAGTGGGGACTGACGGGAAATCCTGGGGCCTGAGCTGTGCTCACACACAGCCTGAGCGGGTGGCCGCAAAAGTGATCGTGTCCAGAGCCCAGAGATTCTGACCCTGCCCCCACAGCCCATGGATCCTTAAATTGTCTTTACTGGGGACCCCCTCTTCACTCCACAATTATAGACTCTAACCTTGTAAGGTGGGACAAGGGAGCACAGAAGAGAAGGGAGGTGACTCCCAGACTCAGAGAGAGAAGGAAGACAAAGAGGCTGAGGGTGCCCAGCAAGACTGGCCAGTGTCGCCAAACAGATCCTGTCCCACCTGTGGTCAAAGAGCAGGGGAGGAATGCAGGTTGGATGGGCACAGTCAAGGACACCTGTAGCTCAAACCCTGCATCCCGAGCCTGTGTAGAGGGGGGAAGGTGGGCTCAGGGCCTTTCCACCCTGCACTGGGCTGGTGGGAGATGGCAGGGCTGAAGCAGCACCCCATGGGGAATGACCAAAGCCCCAAGTCCACCCACACCCCAGCCTCTCACTCACGGAATGGGTTTAGGAAGCTTTGTCACCTTTGAGCTTTTTTGCCCATGTCCCAGAGCACTTTCAGGGTCTCGAGTCCTGGTGGACCCTGTGTGCAGAGCCTGTCCTCTGCCCTCCTTGCCACCACCCTCCATCATCCTGCCCTCAGGGACCAGAAGGACAAGGGAGGTGAGTCCTGCCTCACACCCATTTCCCTGCAAGCCCGTGGCACTGTCACTGGGAGAGGAATCAGAGCCAGGCCCAGAAGGTGGTCAGCACCTTAAAAATGTTAGAGCACAGTCCCTAACGCCCTGGAACCTCCCGAGGCTCCTTTCACTCTGCCTGGCCCCCACCCAGGCCCATTCACAGCCCCCAGACTGTCTGCTGATTTTCTAGGGTGACCATGTGTCACTTTTACTATCAGGAAAACATACGAAGAAAGCAGTTACTTTTGTCTCCTTGAAGTGTTTGTTTCCTGGCCCCTTCTGGTCGTTGATTTTGGTGAGAGTCCTTCCCCACCCCTTCGCTCTCCTGCCCCCTCAGGCTCCCGTTGAGCAGTGTCGGCCCCAGGTCTCTTTCCTCTGTTCACTTATGTGGCCCCGGTTGCCACTAGTAGGGACAGTGCCCTGCTCCCCCCACAGAGACACCATGGGCTTTGCGGGACATGCCAGCCTGGTCCCCCAACCCACACCATCCACCACTGGTGCCATCATGCTGTCCCCAAGTTCCTGCATGCCAGGGGAACCGGACCCCATGGTGGCAGGGAACCAAGGGCAAGGAGACATTGTGTCTGAGTCACTGTGCTGATGGACTGATTTGGGCCTGAGATCCTTTCCAGTCACCTCAGCCCTCATATCTCTTCCTGGCCTTTGTGAGTAAAACCTGTGCTAATGTGGCTAAGATGTCAAAAGCAGAGATTAGGGCCCCGCTGTGTCCAAGTAAGTGGAATCAGACACAGTAATAAGCATTCCCAACATCACCCAGAAGTTTTTCTCAGAATCTCTGCAAGTCTCTATGTCAAAACTAAACTCTTTTCCCTCATTCTAGACAAATCAAACATGTCCTCTGAGTGTCACTGTACACGTGGTTTAATCATGTGTTTCAACAGAATTGAAACGGGGAGCAGTTCAGCCCCATTCCGTATTTTCCAAGTTTCTGTGGCTTGACTTGGTAACCCACGTGCCACCATTATTTTTAAAATGTAACCTACAGGGGAGGAGAGCCACATGCGTGCCCTCGTGTGTGGTGACGAGGCTCCAGCCCTGCCATCCCCTCCCTGGGTGGCCCTGGGTCAATCACGAGCCCTCTCGGGCCTATCCGTTCCAATCTTCTCAATTTGAGCAGGCTCTGACAAGGGCAGAAGATTTTCAGACACTATCCAAAGTCTCTTTTTCAAACAAGATCGTGTTATGGATCCTATGTTTTTGGTCCTCCCTAAAATTCATATGTTGAAGCCCCCCCTAGCCCCCAACATGACTATATCTGGAGATAGTCTTCACAGACATGATTAACTGAGGTCATAAGGGTGGGGCCCTGATCTAACAGGACTAGTGTCTTTGTAAGAAGAGATACCAGAGATTTTTCTCTCTCCTCTCTCCCCTGAGCATATGCATCAAGGAGAGGCCGTGTGAGGACACAGTGAGAAGATGGATGTCCGCATGGCTAGGGGGGAGCTCTCACCAGACACCAGCCCTGATGACACTTTGACCTTGGACCTCTACCTCCAGAACTATGAGACAATAAATTGCTGTTGCTTAAGCCTCTCGGCCAGTGGTATTTTGTTACAGCAGCCATAGCAGACTAATACAATGTTGCACCAAAGCTCATTGTTGGAAACAGATGACAGCAGAGGGGATGGAGTGCCTGGCTGGTGCCACTGCTCCCCAACACCCAGAGTACTCACCCAGTCTCACTTCTGCAGAACCTGGAATTGTATGAAACTCAATTTATAAGGCACAAAATTTGTTTTCTAAGACCATCTACCATTCTCAGATCCATTTATTTCAGAGTTGATTTTTGCAAAGGAATATAAGTACAGTAGAATAATATCCCCCAACCCACCCCATCTGGGAAAGATGGCTCTGCCTCCTGACAAATGGACTTACATTAAAGTCACAAACAAAATAGCCAGTTATCTCTGAGGTATAGGAATGTACAGTCTCTGGTCTCCTCCCTCAAAGTCCCCACTGGGACCATTTTTTTTTTCTGGGGAGGAGAGGGACTGTGTGCCCGATTTGATTAGCAAAAAAGGAAATATGACTATAGCCTAAACTATGGTCTATATTTTTGCTCAAAAGTAAGGGGATTTTTGCAAATTTTCTACAAAGAGAAATAAATTCAATAACAAGGTAACAGGCCTAATTTATGTATATCTTTCTCCTTGCCATGGAATCGATAGGATTTCTGTTGTTTTCCCTGTTAGAGACACTCCTGGTTCAATTTGCTCAAATACAAGCTTACTCTCCCTCCCACCAAACTGCCTCCAGTATTATTTTCCCTATCTCTGTAAATATCATTACTATCTGTCCTGTCATATAAGCTAAATGAAAGGAAAAGGAGGGCAGGAAAAAAGCAAAGATCTAATATGCATAAATCCTGGGCAGGTTAGGACAGCGCAGTGCTTAGGTTCTACCACAAGGTGGCAGTGCTAACTCAATGATAAATTGATCCTGCGCGGCAGCCCTGGAGGTGCCTTTCTGAAGAGCCTGGGAGTTTCCTGGTGAGGCCACGTGGGTGAATTCTTGATTCCTGCAGGATCTCAGGCAAGCTTCCTTTTCTGCTCTTGGTACAGAAGCCTAATGTGTAGCTGTTTTCTACCTCAAATGATGATATGATTCCACATCTCTCCTTGAAGGAAAAGAAATTTCATGCCCGTTGGCCAGAGCGCGCGCGCCCAGATGGCCCTAGCAGAATTCCCCTTTTCTTTGCTTACAGAGCAGTGACTGGGAGTCTAGCAAATGTAGACCTCCAAAGTCTTCCTGCACATAGGATTTGGTTAAGAGGTCTGGCTCGAGGTTTTGCCTCTGTCTTATCATAATTTCTCACAATAACTCACAATTT